CGCTCGCGCTCGCCTGCTTCACCCTCCCCAGCCTCCCTTTCCGCTTTCTTGGGTTTTCTTTTGCGCTTTTCCCCAAGATTCGCTCCCCACTTACACGAAATTCGGGTAGATTCAACCCCCTCCTGGCTCCTCTGTCACGTAGGAACCCCATCCCTTCTCAGTGCCCCCGCCGTCACGCGCTGGGGCTTTGACAAGACCCCCTATTCCATCGTTAGAGCCCCTTGTTACTCTCGGGGGCTGCATCTGTCCTCCCTACCCGGTTCCCTCTCTAGGAGGTACCGCTCTCCTCTGAGTGTCACCCTAACTTGGGTGTCCCCGGGGTAAGATCCGGAGTGTGAGCAGAGTCAGGGCTGGGGGGGGGCTTCCCTTCTCGCGGGTACGCCTGAATCAACCCGCCTGCTGCCAAGAACTCGCGGGCGTCTTCTCGGGGTACGAAGAAGGCACCTTTCGCCATCTCCGCGCACGCCCCGCGCGTCCGCGTCTGTGTTTATGTATCGGTGGTATTTGGGGAGCGGCTCCGTGTTCGGATCCCCGCGGCGGACTGGCGCCGGGATCGTCACCGGCACTTCGCACGCCCCAGGGTGCTCGCGGCTCCCTATAAACGCCTCTCCCGGGAGAGAGAGAGACGCGATGGGTGGCGCGCCCCGAACCGGCCCCCTCCCCCGCCCCAGGGGAGCTGTCACAGCCGAAGAGCCCTGAAAGCCGCCGCGCCCGACGGCTCCTGCGTTCGTTTAACAAAAGCGCATTCAGTGCCTGTGAGGCGTCAGCCCCTTGGGGTCGCCCTCCCGCCCGCCGTGGGCTGGAATTTACAGGACCCATCCCCCAGGTTGGAGATAACAGGAACACACCCTCCCTGATACGGCGTCCTGTGATTTCCCCCCTCCTCCCTCCCGGGCTGGCTTCCTAACCTCATCCGTTCTGCAATTCGCTGGTTTAACTTTGTTTTATGGCTGGAATCAGCAAAGCATCAAATTAACAAACCTTGCCGGCTGGGCGGTGACTCACGCCTCTAATCCCAGCACTTTGGGAGGCCTGGGCAGAAGATCCCTTGAGCCCAGGCGTTCCAGAGCAACCTGGGCAACTCAGGGAGATCTGTGGTATCTACAAATAAAGAAAAAAGAAAAAAAAATCAAAAAAGTAACCTGGTGTGGTGGCACGCATCTGTAGTCCCAGTTACTGGAGAGGATGAGGCAGAAAGATCCTTTGAACCCAGGGATTTGAGACCAGCATACAAAAAATAAAAATTAGCTGGGTGTATGGTCAGGTACCTGTAGTCCCACCTACTCCGGAGGCTGAGGTGGAAAGATCACCGAGCTGTACAGGTGGAGACTTGGTGAACCGAGATTGTGCCACTGCACTTTAGCCTGGGCAGCAAAGCGAGACCTCCAACTCAAAAAAAAAAAAAAAAAAGGTCAACTGCATCATTATTGGGGTCTTACTTTTTTTCAGATACATACTTTGCTTTCCTCTTGAGATCAACCCTATTTTTAAAATGACGCTTTGTTTGGAGAGGAAGGAAAAGGTATTTCATAGTCTGGGGCAAGTCTGCGTGGGGCATCCCAGCTGTAACTGTTAGAGTGCATTATAGCCAGAGGACAGAGCTTCAAAGGGTGAGGGTGTTACAGTCCTAGTAATGCTTGGCTGCTAACCCTCAACACCAATAAGTCAGGAGACAGGGAACTGGTCGAAAGAAGTTTGCTTCTGAATTCAACTCCAAGGAGCGGAGCCAGGCTCCTGGCCTTTCTAAAATAATTCTGCTCCCCCCTTCAAGTTTTACAGTCCGCTTTTAGAAGTTTGAGATTGTTTGTACCTATCCACTGACTATGTGACTAGCAGAGTATTGTATAGAATTCAAGTCACAAACTGGCCTCAGTGGCTCAGCCTGTAATCCCGCGCTTTGGGAGGCAGAGGTGAGTGGATTGCCTGAGCCCGTGGGTTTGAGACCCGCCTGGGCAACTTGGTGAGACTTCACCTCTACAATAAATCAAAAATCAGCTGGGTGTGGTAGCGCGCGCCTGTAGTTCCAGCTACTTGGAAGGCTGAGCAGAAGGATTGCTGGGGCCCAGAAGGTCGACACTGGGGTGGCTGTGAGCATACCACTGCACTCCAGCCTGGGCAATGGAGTGAGACTCAACTCAAAAAAAAAAAAATGACACTTATGGTCCACATTTCCTGGTACAGGTTACCACAGGTATCTCACAGTTTCTCATCAGTAACACCAAGCAGAAGTGTTAATCAAGCTTGCCATATAGAGTAAAGGAAGTTTAAAAGGCCTAAGACATCATACATGACTACATGTTGTTATATGCAAAAGTTATACAAATCACAAGACTTATAATTACCTTGATACTATATTATTCAAACCTATGACTACTATAACTAAGAAAAGGGAGTAAATGGGGATTTACATCTCTCAGTTAATTGGGCACAGTCTGCAGGGAAGACTGCACTCCTTTTGTTAACTCTTAGGAGTGTGGATACTTGCAAGCCTGCTGGAACATTTGCCATGCCCTTCTCTAGGGGCTGTGGCAATATGGACAGACAATAGCAAGTCTCCATATTAAAGAGGAACCCCAAAGTAGCCATAAAGAGTGAAGAAGTTAGCTTACAAGGATATCAAAGAAAGGTTGGTTTATTTTGCAGTTTTGCCTAAGCCCTGAAACTGTTAATATTATTATTATTATTATTATTGGTTTGCATTGGAGTTTCACTCTGCCACCCAGGCTAGAGTGCAGTGGCAGGATCACAGCTTACCACAGCCTCAACCTCCTGGGCTCAGGTGATGACCCTCCCACCTCAGCCTCCCAAGTAGCAGGGAGTACAGAAAATTTTTTGTAGAGACGAGATCTCGCTATGTTATGCAGACTGGTCTCAAACTCCTGGACTCAAGCAATCCTCTTGCCTTGGCCTCCCAAAGTTCTGAGATTATAGGCATGAGTCACCGCACCTGGCCTGAAACTGTTTAGTTTATAAAGTGCATTAACTGCTTTACACTGACTTGGGATCATTAAGAATTCTTTTAGGATGCAGGAGAAGATTCAGCATCAGTGTGCTCTTTATAACATGGTTTACAATAGCAACAAGTTGGAAGTCACTTAAATGTGCGCCACAGGAATTGGTTAAACAGGCCTTAGTCCTCTGGCTGTGGAAAAATGATACTGGCATAAAAAACTGGGATGCGAGGTGTATGTTGACGGGAACGACGTTATGGGAGTGGTCTCATTTCCCATTCTCCTAGCACTCCCTTTTCCTTGGGGAATCACAGCCTCTCAAGCTCTGTCCCTGTGGCGACCCCCACCTGCAGCTCCAGGGGTGGGCTTGGGAACCAGCCCACCCTGTTCAGCTTCTCCCTCCCCAGTCACCAGGGCTGGTCAGGCGGCCCAGGCCCCGACAGGCCAGGCAGAGCCAAGGAGGTCGGATTCTCAGGCTTTTTTTGTTGAGCGCTGGGGAAAGAGAAGCTTTGTTTGGGCTGAGATTGCCAGGCAGCGCTTAAGATGTGGCACCAAGGGTTAATAAGAGGAGAGAGTTTGTGAAAAGCAAGGCCAGCCTGGAGTTCGGAGTGGGAGGAAGGAGACTGGGGCTCCCTCTCCAGGACACCCTTTGAGCTCCTGACCTTTCGGTTACCCAATTGATATGTTCCCTCTGTGGCTTAAGCCAGTTGGGGTTGGGTTTCTGTCGTTCCAATGGAAAGAGTCCTGACCAGTGCAGATGTTCATGATATCACTGAGAGGAAAAGCAAATTCCAAAACATTATGTTCCTTGTGATTCCATCTCAGCGTTTATTTTTTTAAGCATACCATATACATGTACACGTGTACAAAAGACTCTGAAAGGAAGCATGAAAACGTTATAGTGTTACCTCTAGGTAGAAGGATTGAAGGTTATTTTTATTTTTACTTTTTTTTTTGAATGGGAGTCTCACCCTGTCTCCCAGGCTGGAGTGCAGTGACCTGATCATGGCTCACCACAGCCTTGACCTCCTGAGCTCAGTTGATCCTTTCGCCTCAGCCTCCTGAGTAGCTGGGACTACAGGCGTGTGCCACCACACCGGGCTAACTTTTTTATTTTTTGTAGAGATGAGGTCTCGCTATGTTCCCCAGGCTAGTCTCAAACTCCTGGGTACAAGCGATCCTCTCACCTCAGCCTCCCAAAGTGCTAGGATTACAGATGTGAGCAGACACGCCTGGCTGACTTTTATCTTTGCGTAGGTCAGTGTTCTAATTTTATTTCAGACAAGCATGCGTTATTTGTGTAAGAGTTTTATTTAGAGAGAAGAATTACCCCAAGAGACTCAGACATCAGAGTCCTGGCCTCCGTAACTTTGGATTTCTAGAGCTGCACTGGTGAGTGGGACATAGGAAAAACGCTGCCTCATCCACGTTGAACCACTTTGAAAGAGTTATTGCTGTGTCTACTGTGATCTCCCAGTCCTGTTCATTCTGTTGTAGTAATGCCTACTTGGTAGTTCTGTCATTCATTTACTCATTTAATAAGCACTCCTGAGCACTACTATTTTGCTGTTAAAGATTTAAAGATGAGGCTGGGCATGGTGGTTCATGCCTGTAATCCCAGCACTTTGAGAATCCTAGGTGGTAGGATTACTTAAACCTAGGGGTTCAAGACCAGCTTGGGCAACATAGCCAGAACTGGTCTCTACAAAAACATCAAAAACTAGCCTGGCGTATGGTCCGAGCTACTCAGGAGGCTGAGGTAGAGCCTGGGCAACATAGTGAGACCACGTCTCTATAAAAGAAAAAAAAAAATTAAGCCGGGCTCGGTGGCTCAGCCTGTAATCCCGCACTTTGGGAGGCTAAGGTGAGTGGATTGCCTGAGCCCACGGGTTCAAGACCCACCTAGGTAACTTGGTGAGACTTC